CAGTGATAAATCCAGTATAAAAAGTGCAAGAGTTAAAAAAAAATCACAATAACTACTATATCATCATTAATTTGTAAGTAGCTACTCTCCCTGTCTTTCATATCTCTTATTACCTCTGCAATTTTTCTTTCTTTCTTCCATGAATATTTTTCTCTGTTTCAAATATCCCTACTTCCCTCCCTACCCCCCTCCTTCCCTCTCTCCCTCCCTTCCTCCCTCTCCCCCTCCCTCCCTCCCTCTCTCCCTCCCTCCCTTCCTCCCTCTCTCCTCCTCCCTCCACATCTCTCTCTCTTCCTCCCTCCCTCCCTCTCTTCCTTCCTCCCTCCACATCTCTCTCCCTCCCTCCCATCTACCTACCCATCCAACCTCCTTCTCTCCTCCCTTCCTCCTCCCTCCTTCCCTCCCTCCCTCTGTCCATCCCTCTCTCCCCTTCTAACACCAACAGTTGCATTCCCTCTCTCTCTCTCTCTCTTCTCTCTTTCTCTTTCTCTCTCTCTCTCACACTCACACTCTCACTCACACTCACACTCACACTCACACTCACACTCACACTCACTCTCATACGCACATGCACACGCATACGCACACAGAGACAATATTAAAATTTCTATATATTTTTGCTTATATCTCTCTATTGAGTTGTATTATATATAAAGCTTTTGTCAGAAACTGATATATATATCTAAACCAAATGTAACACTATTTTCCTATTATAGTAAACTATTAATTCCCAATACCAATGTATATTACTATGTTAGTTATACCCTCCCAATATGTTAACATAAGGTGCCTTTCTCATAAACAAAATACCATGCTTAAAGAAATCATAATGGAGTCCAAATTATATAACTATCTCATGAAGTAAAAAATAAATAAAATTATAAAAAATTACATCCAAGTATTGGCTTATGTATATAAACTTACACATGTCTACACAATTTTTATTCAACAAATTCTATCCTGAGCATTATAATTTTGTAATTCCGAAGCATGGTAAAATATATTTCATAAAAAGCAATTTAAAAAGACTTAATTCTGTTGACAATAACCATGTTAATACTTCCAAAATACATGAGCTTTAAAACAGAAAAACCATCAGTTCATATATATTTCAAAAGAAATATTAAGCTGTATTGTCAGTGCACTGCTAAATCTTATAAAATATTCTGTCATGTTCAACTGTCATTGTGATATTGAAATGTGTCATACTTCATTTATAGAATAACTTTGAATCAAATGTAATAGTGTCATACTCTGTATTGAGCTAGATGTTACTCTACGAGGCAAACTAGCTTTATAAATCCTAATACACTATAAATAACAAGACTATCCTTACTACATCACACTAAAAATCTAAAGGCCCAATACACTACAAAACCTACCGTTAATCTCAGTTAACATACCATGGGCCAGTGAGCACCAGGATCTCTTTTCACCCATAAATCACCACAAAAATAACGGTAACACTCAGCACCTGCACAATCACATCAAATAATACATCCTCTCACTACTCATCATCACACTTTACTTCACTCATTAACAAGAACCAAGAAGAAATGAGCAACCCACGTGACTTAAAACTTTAGGCTTGTAAGATCGGCACTACCACGGTTCTAAATAGATATATATTTACACTATCAAATATAGCTTTTACAATTGCATGAAGAGTCAGAACCATAAGATTCATCCCTCACTAATGATAATGTCCATTTACAGAAATTAACAAAGTTTGGCCAAAAAAAAAAAAAAAAAAAAAAAAAAAAAAAAAAAATGCAATAATGGTGATCATAGGTTAGACCAAGAGAAAATAGCCTCCAAATATGTAAATGACAGAGTCTTTATCTGGAAGACCTTCTCCATCTCCCTCCAACAAACAACTTTAAAAATAGCATGTAGAAAGAAACCCCAAAATACCAAACTGCGAATGGATGGAAACAGTACGATTTTCATTTAATTTGACTGATGTGAATAACGGTTTCCTCTAATGCTGTACATTTTGTGCTGCATAATTCCACAATCTTTACAGTTACTTCAGATAATACAAGAGAAGCATGAATTTAAAACTAATCTGCTTGCTGTAATAAAATATAATTAGTGGAAAGGCAATATATAATTTACATGAAAGCTATTGAAGTAAAATATAAAACAAAAATGACTAAGCCTGAAAGCAAGAAAGAATCATAATTCAGGAATTTCTCTATGTAATGTCTTTATGTGGATCGTATCTGAACGAGATGTGCTGCTATAAATCTGGAAGCCCATAATTGGTGTACTTCTACTTTACCCTGAAGACTATGGAAAGATTAGTTTCAAACTACGCATTTTGGCATTTTACAAGTGTTATTCTGAATTGCTATGGAATCACGGAGTCCCACGTCGGTGAGTAAGAACAGTACTAATCAAAAAGAGGAATACTGCACTTCATACTCTTGACACATACAAAAAATAAGTACTGAATGGTCTATATACTGATTTATATATTGGAGTATATAAAAATACATTGGTAAATGCAATGCTGAACATTGTGCTGCTAAATTTAAGTGTTGGATTTACTTGGGGGTAAATGAGATTATGGTCCACGTATTATGAAAAGGAACCAACTGAACCAAACTCACTGAAACATGCATGCCCGTATGCCCACACGCACCCACACAAACGTGTACAGGTAAACACAGATGCACATTCACGCATAAAAACAGACATTCACTTTTATGAGCACACACGCACACAGATAGATACAGAAAAAAAGAAAACTTATTTACCAGGGACTTGGAAATTTCTTATTCTTATTTGTCCTGTGTGTATGGAGGACTTTGCTCTAGTCAGGTTATTCTCAATGAGGTCAGAGGTCAACCCATACACCTCAATATAATGAAACAAGCTGCAAAAACAATACTCTGAGGGCGAGACCTCTACACGTCATTACAAAGAGTAACGATCCAGTCTTTCACAGATGTATACAATTACTCAAAACAACACTGTTAAAAAATCATTATGCTGGAATGATCATTATATGGAGTACCATGAGAAAAATACAGTGAGCTGTAAGGGTGAATTTAGTCCTCTTCACTTCAGGTTCGCATAACAACCAATTCAGCAAAGTAGAATATCTAATGAAACTGAAATGCTAGCTATTCCATAAAACTGCAACATAAATTCAGAGCAACTGCAAACTATACCATACAATTATGCTAAATTAATTACATAATGGTATGCAATATAGTTTAATCCCTAGATATGGATAGATTCTTGCCTACAATATGAAAACTTAATTGGACTAATGCAGTCATTATCTGTTACACAAACACTGCCTCCATAAGAAACAATAATTGAGCAAGAAGTATAGCTAATAAAATGACACATCATTAGCCATGGAATGATCACATCGTTGACAATGCGCACACTGGAATGCAAATATTGTACCTAATCATGGATATAAACCTTAAAATGAAACATAACAGAGCATACACACACATACTCATACACTCACATACTTCCAGAAAACTTCACAGAAGACAATGAAGATGATTCAAAACAATCATTTTGTTCAAAGTTCAAAGAAAAGGAACTCATCATTTAGGTAAGTTATTTGTTATAATGTATGAAAGTTATCGGGCATCTAAAATGACTAAAGTCTACAATTTCAGAATGCGCAAAAAAAGAAAATACATAAATAAATATATATACTTTTAAATCCATGTTTTCCCATTAATTCATAAAAAGAAACGAAAATATTATAAGCAAAATTAAAACCATATAAAAGACATGAATATACAGCATCTATAATCAGTTACAATAATCTTGACTTTGCAAATTAAGTAAATATTCAAAGCATTTAAAAAGGTTACTTGAACTTTCCTTTGTATATATGCATTTCACGATCAAACTTATATCAAATAAGAAACGTGTACATCTCCTATTGCAATGTTTATCAAAATATACTGATTCCTCTGATTAGTTACTGAAGAACAGTAACAAACTAATTCAGAAACGTAAATTGCACCAGGTGAATATCATGCTTTAATTATGCCTAATTACCATCTTACATCTGCCTCAATTTTCTGCAAAGTCATGCTCCCATACAGTAAAGTCTATGCTACGGAATTCACTTCACAAATAAATAAATGATAAATAAATGATAAATACTCTTAAGCAAATTTACAATGCTCCCATACTGATGTCATACAGTTATTTAAACTATCAGATAAGACTCTTTAAAAACAGAATTATGTCAAGTATAGTGTTCATGTTTTTCACAATCATTTATACTGTCTTTAATCTGTACAAAAAAGAAAGGTGTCTGTGCGCACAAGGACCTATAATTAACTTCGTGAAGAAACAAGTCATACAAAATATACATAAAGCACAATACAATTTAAGTAAACTGGGAAAAATAAATAGCTGACCACCCATGAACGGCCTGCACGCAAGAACATTACCACAGCATTACCATGAGGACAAAGCACTGTATATTATATTAGCTGTGCAATTGCATATGATAGACAACACATAAATACTCTTTGTTATTCCCTTCTTTTTTTCTTCCAATCAAGACGCATGTTTATCATACATAAAATGGCTTTTCATTCATAAAAAAAAAAAAACATAATGAATAAAATTTAAATATAATGATAATACTGCATAGCGATATCTTCTCAAGCCGCCTAGACCTGCAAATATTCTTACTCAATATATCTCAAGGAAAGTGATAAAAATTTGCCAACTGAAACAGCAAATACTGTGTTCTTCCTTAATTTGCCGTTGTAAACTAGGATGCATTCTTGCCCTTACTCATGCAGCCTCCTTGGTTGCTGATCTCCTGAAATAAAATAACATCCATAGTAAAAATAAAAAGAGACAAATATTTAATAATGTTTTAATAAATCTTATCAGAAAAGGAGAATATTTTTCTTAAAAGGAAAAAGAAAAAAATGGCACTAAAAATAATCAACAGGAAAATAAAAATTATACATGCTAAATCAATTAATATAAACCAAAAA